AAGATTTTGTTTCCTAGATCTTTTGGCATCTGCTTACTTGGCAGAGAGAACATTGGCAGCCACTGATGTAGGTATTTCAAATTATAAAGCTGGTTCCTGATCTGACTTTGACTAGAAATCACTGCTTCAGCCAGTTTCTCTATGGATTTTTACTGTTATGACAAAGTTTAAGGTCCATTAAACAATATGCAGAATAGGTAGGTTGTATTTCACTACTTCTTAAGAATACATCAGCCTCATTATAGAGCTTTTGCCAAAAAAGAAACCACAAGAAAACCCAAACCCAGCTCCCCAAACCCCTTCATATATCTTCAACACTGAATTGTTTTTTGTAACAGGAAATAAACAAAAACTGCTTATATTTGTATAATCCTGGATAATTTTAGCCTCTCTTGAAAGTTAATCATAGTGCTTACATTCTGTGCCCTAGTTTTCTCTTGGTACATGTGAAAAACAACTCTCTAACAAACTAAGGATCTTTCTTTAGCTATCCTGCTTCTGTTTTCATGCTTGTGCTTGATTATGTCAACCGTTTCACATAAGAACTGTAATTTAAAAGCTCAGTAGGAAACTATGTATCTGTTACAGGGACAAGGACCTCTGTTATCAGCTCTCCCAGCCTGGAGGGGATTCAGATGGCGCCTCCTTCTGCATGGCATTTCTTCCTCCTAGGAGGTTCTGTTCCAAAAGCAGGCTGGTTTAGCTAGGGGTTGCACCTAGTTAGGAGCTGTGTGTATTTCAGTTCTCTTGAATGATGTTAAAAAAAAAATAAAAAAAAAATAAAATAGGAGCTTGGTTTAGCTGAGAAATTTGCCATGAAGATAAAGGATAATTCGACACACATCAGGTAAGTAATTTTGTGCAAGATTTCTGAAGGCCGTGTTCCTGATGGAGGGCTGGAGTTTGTCCACAGTGATAGTATTTTCTTTCTTTCCTTTTTTTTTTTTATTCTTCTTCCAACTGCTCTGCATCTCCATTAGTTAAACAACAAACAAAGACACTTTAAAAATATTAGGATCTGACTGTGGAAATCTAGTGGAGCCAAGTCTTCAGAGCTTCCCAAATCCCAATTATGTTTTCCTCTAAAAAATCTGAGGCTGATGCTAACTACCATTAAGAGCTGCTTTTCATATTAGATACAGTGCTTCTAATTTCTAGTTTGTGCCGTGACCTGCTTAAGGAGATTAAATGATGCAGGATAATTGATTCCTCATCTGGGAGTCAGACTGAAAGCATTAAATCAATCCTATCCTCTTCCATTTTATTGCCATTGAAATTTCTTTAAAGCAGCTGATGCTTCCTCTTCTGCCTCTTAAAAAATAGTGAACTAGGTAATACCTATTTCTTTTGCATGCTTGGTCTGCTGTCTCTCTGGGAGTAAATAGCACAGCTTAGCTCTGCTCTCTTTAATCCGCTGGGATATGTCTTTAGAGAACAGGTTTTTATTCCATAAATACAAAGCAAAATGCTCTTAGTGACCCTGTGTCCAT